CCAGAAACTGGAGATGAAGACTTGGCCTAATGCAGGAATCAGATGTGCCAAAAAGCTAGAAACCTTTCCCAAAGCTTCTAATATACTAGAAGCAGGCCACACCCCAAAGGTCCACAGATTAACGTCTCACAGCAGATTCCATCATGGAGGTAATTACAGTCTTATCATGGAGAATAACTACATCCAGCTGCCAAGTGACTTAGAAACAGGACACAACCAAGTTGACACACAACCTGAACTACCACACCCATTAAAATTAATACCCTAGATATACTGTGTGTCAGTTTATGTATTTCGTTTTCAGAAGACCACATTTCCTTGCAATGTCCAGTATATTTATGGCCTCATTAAGCCTATTTTTGCTTCTACATTCCATTGCCTTATTTATTCTTCCGTTATACCAGTGATTCTCAAACCTTATTCTACAAACAAATCACCTGTAAATCTTGTTAAAATACAGATACTGATTCTGTATGTCTGGGGAGGGTCCCCAAGGAGTGCAAGTGGTGCAGTGACTAAGGCATCTGACTGCTAACCAGAAGAGTGGTGGTTCAAAGCCACCAGCCACTCCACAGAAGAAAGACCAGGCAATCTACTTCCATAAAGATTTACTGCCTTGAAAACCCAATGGAGGTTACTGAGTTGGAATCGACTATATGGCAATGGGTTGGGTTTTGTTTGTTTGTTTTGAGGAACTCTGGTGGTGTGGTGGTAAAGGCATTTGGCTGCTAACCAGAAGGCTGGCAGTTTAAAACTACCAGCTGCTCTATAGAAGAAAGGTGGGACAGTCTGCCTTTGTAAAGACTTACAGCCTTGGAAACCCAGTTGGGGGTTGCTATGAGTAGTAATGGATGTCACAGTGAAGTGATGTGAGAAAGGCTCAGGGCTCATTGCCAGCTTGAAGATGGAAGATGGGACCAGGAGCCCAGGAGTGGCATCCAGAAGTTGAAAAAAGAAGGAAAAACAGATTCTCAGCAATAGACTTCAGAAAGATACACAGCCCTGGAGACATCTTGATTCTTACCCCAATGAGACCCAGTGTGGATTTCTGACCTCCACAATGGAAAGATAATAAATTTTTGTGGTTTTAAGCCACTAAGCTTGTGTTCGTTACCACAATCCTTAACAAAAGCAGCAACAGGAAATTAACACGTGGCTTCCAGAGATGGCTGGGAGATTGAGGTTTCTGCTTGGTATACTGTCACCTCAGACTAAACCAGTGTTCTGTCTGAGAAAAGATCTGAATGGACAGTGCAAAGGCAGTTTAGTCAGTGTTTCCATAAGATTAACAGGGCAAGATGACTTTTAAAAAGGGGATTGCAGAGAGAGGGAGAAATTGGTCTGCTCTTTACTAATGTGTCATGAAGCTTGTTTATAAGAAAGTGAAATTGACCTAATGAAAGACATGTATCCATGCAACAGAATAATCACAAACAAAACCTTCAAGTAAGAAGCTTACATTATCAAAGTGGCACTAAACCCACGAGGCAAGGGAAGGGACTTAAAACAAATAGTGCTTGGAGAGTTAACTGCTGGAAGCAATGTACAGATGAATCCTTATACAAAGCATAATAAATTGAACTTGGAGGAAAGACTTAAAGTACCATAAAACTTCTAGGAGAAACTATATTCATTAACTGTCTGAGCATAAAGGCAGATGGAAGAAATAGAAAAATATTTTAATGGAGAAAATAATGGGTGGGCTCAATTACAATAAATATCTATATGTCAAAAAACATAAGAGATAAATGAAAAACTAAAGGAGATGTTTATAACATATTGGACATAACAAGCATAACAATGTAGACAAATAGTTCTTTTAAACCAATGAGAATAAAACAAGTGCAAATCTTTAATGCATCAAATACAAATAATATATAAAATTACATATACAAATAAGATAGTAGGAAATAAATACAAGAATAATGCATTAAATAAAGAATAAATACAGGTATTAACATGGAAATGTAGTCAACATCACTAACAAAGAAAGATTAAAATATGG